ATATTAGTGTGAAAAATAAAAACAGGGTTCTAGATATTATGAGGACAGAAAACAGAGACAACTTCTCGTCATGCTCTGAGAATTTTGTTCTGTACACAGGCTACTTACAAGGACAGTTAAATGCATATGTATTTTATAGAATTTTATTCATTAATTTATTGTTATTCCCAATTAACCCTATAGTTTAATCCAACAAAAGAGCTGATTAAATTCTTTTTGCATTTTTTTCTGCTAAAATACAGTAGAGTTAGCAATTTTTGTGAAAGGGAAAGACTGTTTCTGCTGTTTCTAAATATTTTTCTCTTTATCTGCATTTAAGTTTTCATTCTGTTTTATATTAACTGTCTGTGACTATAACTTCAAATAATATCATCATTGGCCACGTGAGGGCAATAATGCAAGGCAAATTCCACATTCTCCTCTAAGCCGGATCTTCATGCGATATTAAAAGACTTATTTTCTGGATAGATCCTGGTCTGGTTTTATTTCACATATGTTAAGCATGAAAAATATTTTTGTTCATTCAATTAGTCAATTAGTCAAATGACTAATACGAAAGAGAGAGAATTTCAGTGATAATCATAGGCTTATGCCACAGCATGCTTAAAAAATAGCAAACAGCTTTAATTTATTATGTTCACTGGATGGCTTGAAAATCACTTAAGGTCATATTTTTAGCTAAGGACATCTAAGGTGACATGAGTACATCAGCCAAGGAATTCAAGCCCATGACATACCTGACAGCCTCTTTTGGATGAGCATACGGACAGCAAGCCAGAGCAGGGGCAGTGAGAAGCTGTCTACAGCACAGAAAATCTCCCCAGGTGATGCAGGACATGCGACACTAAAGCCCATAAAATTTTACCCCTCTGTCAAGAACTGGGACCAGTCTGAGAAAGGCTAATGCCTAGGCAAAGGAGATGAGTACTTTCATAGACTGACAAACTTTGAGATAATTCATTAAAAATGAGTGTTTCACACAAGGGATTCTACCAAACATAAAATTGTTCAGGGATCATTGGGGGTTAATCTTTTGCTCAGTACACATGCATAATGTGCACTTATATGAAGGGATTTATTTCACACATTGATTGAGACGCATCCCTTAATCGCTACCACATGCAACTATTAACCTAGAAAGCCTTTATCATAGAATCATAGAACCATAGAATCTTTAAGGTTAGAAGAGACCTTTAGAGATCATCTAGTCCAACCCCCCCGGAATATGCAGGGTCCCCTATAGCATGTGGCACGGGATTGCATCCAAGCATGTTTTGAAGATCTCCAGAGAAGGAGATTCCACTCTTGGCAAACTGTTCCAGCACTCTGTCATCCTCACTGTCAAGAATTTTTTCCTTAAGTTCCTTAAGTTTCGGTGCTTCAGTGTGTGGCTGTTTCCTCTAGTCCTGTCGCTGGTTGCCACTGAAAAGAGGCTGGCCCCATCCTCTTCGCTCATAAAGGCATGTATAGACACTGCTCAGGCCCCCTCTCAGCCTTCTCTTCTCCAGGCTGAACAGGCCCAGCTCTCTCAGCCTCTCCTCACAGGGCAGATGTTCCAGGCTCCTGATCATCCTCGTAGCCCTGCGCTGGATTCTCTCCAGTAGTTCCACGTCCCAAAACTGGACACAATACTCCAGATGTGGCCTCACCAGGGCTGAGTAGAGGGGCAGGATCACCTCCCTGACCTGCTGGAGGTGCTCTTCCTTATGCACCCCACGATGCCATTGGCCTTCTTGGCCACAAGGGCACACTGCTGCCTCATGGTCAACCTGTTGTCCAATTATTTATTATATTATTATATTATTTGATATTTAATTTAATGATTATTATATTATATTAATTTGTTTAATTATCAATTAATCAAAGGACAGATGATCTAAAAAAGGCTATCCAAATTTCTTCAAAGAAATAAGGCTATTATACAGTCTCTCATCAAAATATTCATATGGCTGAAAGCCATTCACTTCCCTGCCTTTCCTGTATCTTCACAATCACAGCCCAAATCCAAAGCTGCACTTTCACAGTCCCTTAAACACAGACAAAATCCTTATGCCAGACTAGAAACCAGCTTCTTTTCATAGCTTGCTTTCTGAACAGAGATACAAAATCTGTATAATCCAGAGAAAACCTGAGCAGCTGATAAGCAAGCTGCATTTGAACTCTTCCTGAATTTCCATTTAGTCAATGCTTATTCATAAAGTCATTTTGAAGTCCTGTCATTATGATTAGGATAAATAAATTTAAGTGGTAAGTATCATTTATAATAATTTATGAAAAGAGAAGCAGTGGAGTAATACGGTATTATTTCATAGAATAAGCTTGTATTTTTTCTTTACACAGCTTCTCTGAAACACTGGATATCATCTGATACACCTCCATCATTTTAAAAATCTTACCTTCATTTTCACCACATTCTGTCTACCTCTGGCAACCACAAAGCCGTTTTTATATGCAGAGGAAATCAAATTTTACACTTAACATACTGAGTTTGCAATAGTAAAGCCGTGACCAAGCCAACCACAACTGTGGATCAATTTCTTATTGATAATGGTTTTATTGTACTAGTGTGAAAAAAATTGCAACCTGACACTTATATGCACCGAGCAGATCTCTGAATTACTGTGCAACATTACCAAAGGCAGCGTGTCTATGACAGCAATACAGCAGATGAAAATTATTCTCATCCATTAATTTGTAAAGATTAATTCACTGTTCTAGAGAAAAATGCATCATTAGCAAATTTTTCAAGACCACAGTCTCCCCTGTAGGGTGTTCATTCCCAATGACATTAATGGATATCAGTCAATGTCGAACAGTGCAAGAACAGATGCTTTCTGTCTTTATTAACCATTGACAGGTTGGAGCTTCACAATGTAATGAACAGTTTTCCTGCCTCCACGCTAGAGTTGACAGAAATTGAATGCTTAGAAATACACTGGACCAGATTTCTTGGCTGGGGCAAACACACATAGTTCCACTAGCTAGTTCATGAAAGGAGATCGCTGTGCTGTCATTGTACATCTTGCTGGTAACATCTGACAGCTCCATGAAGTTATTTGAAACTTGTGGTAATCTTATCCCAAAGGATATTACTAATTTAAATCTCCTCGCAAGTACAATCTTCTGAATGACAACATCTTTTCTAGCTCCTCTTGCCTGATGCCTCTGCATCAGAGCAGAAGCCTCATGATTTTCCCAGTTGGAATATCAGTGAATTCCAACTGCTGGACTACACAGTGTCTCACTTCTCCTAGAATCTACCTGACTCCTCCCAGGATCTTTATAGGGTACACGGTTTATACTTAGAGACAGTTTTATATATCCTGTTCTCCATCTTTTTGTTAATATATATTTATACATCAGTACCGACATACTTTCTCTGGTGCTTAATTTTTGTGTAATTCTTGCCATTTTGACAAGACTGTCTAAAGCAGTGGAAGATATAATACCACAGAAGCAGTAACCAGATTGGAACAACTGTATATGTGCTGCGGCTTCTATCTATCATTTTTATTGCTTCTTCAGCTGCCAGAGTGCTCTGTAAATGGTGGCTGGCATCCCTTACAGCAGACTTATCTCAGGAGGGATTATTTTTCCAGAGCCATACCACATTTACTAATGACTGTTCACCCTTAAAGTGGTTCCTACTTCAGCCATGATAGTGACATTCTGGACACTGGGGTATTTTAATAAACATAAAACAAACCTGAACTTCAAGGTTTGTAAGCAGGGGAGTGGTCTTCCTAAGTGTAAATAGAGCAATTGCGAAAAAAAAAAAAAAAAAAAGTATGTGGAAATCCTTAGCTTCTGAAGAGGTAAAGAAAAGGACACAGGCTCCTATCACCTAATTTTGGCCATCTAAAATGTAGGCACCTTTTCTAAATGAGTCATAGTCCTAGGAAGAGAACAAATATTTTTAGCAGGAAACTCATATCATTCTAAAATTACTGTTTAAATTAGGTGGGATGGTTTGCTTTCTACAGGTGTCTGTTTCTCCAATAACCAGAATTAGAGATTAGATAATGAACTTAGATTAGACATTTTCTCAATAGCTAAAATTGAAAACACTACAAGGCTGGCATAATCCAAAGTCCTGACAGTGATTCACACTGATGCAAACCCAAGACCAGTTCCTAGCACGAGAAACTTATTTGGAACCTGCAGCATCCTCAAATGCTGCATCTGACATTGAGCTGTGATACCTTGAGATACTACCTCTACGTTGACCTTTTATCTCTTCAAAAGGAAGGAAGGAGTCACAGAACTGTAGTTCCTCATGAAAAGCTGCCATGTTGCAAGCACAGTTGCTAGAAGAATAAAGTTATGGGAAGGAACACTTGGTAATCTGTAGTATTGCTGAGCAAATTAGATGGAGAGAGGAATTGCTCCAGCCATGTAGAGATGTCTAGAGCTAATCAAATTAAAGAAACTGTAAAACATGCATCTTCATAAAACCTAGAGACCATAGGAAGCCAATCCTCTCCATGCTATACTTCCTTCCCCTTATTTGGAAGTACCCTGACCCTCTTTGATTCTGTTTTACTGCAACTAAAAAAAAAAAAGAAAAAGAAATCTAAACACCCCCTTGCTTGAGCAGAGGAATTGGACTAGATAATCTCTAGAAGTCCCTTCCAACTTCAACCATTCTGTGATTCTGTAAACAAACCATTTTAAATATTTACTTTCCTTTTTCACAACACTGTCAACACTCAGGCAAAAGAAGTTACAGCAAAACAGCAACCCCCCAGCTGTGCTTTAGAGAACACTTCAGCCTTGCAACTGCTGTCAAATGTCAGTGACAGGAACGGGCATTGAAGCAAGCAAACCCCAGGGTCCCTCCTAACCCTCCCTGTGTTTCACTCCTTTGTGGAACAAACCCCTCTCTCTCTGAGGAAAGCTGGACATGAGGAAAAGGAAGAGGAACAACCTCTTTTTTTTTTTCTTTTTATGTCCACACTTTGCCTGAAAAAGAGAAACAATTAGGAAATGAAGTGTATTACCTTTACAGAAAAGTGCTTCTTCTTGGGTGGATGCCAGACAGTGCCAGTTGAATGAATGAAAGCCCGTAAAGGTGTTAAGGATGTGACTAGCACATATGCTTTGATGATGACAGAAAGGTCTTGAGCTTTAAAGATGTCCCTGTGGTCTGGTGGAAGTGATAACTGGTTCCTGGAAAGTAATAATAATTATACCTAGCATCATGGAGGTGCTGGTGCAATCTCTGTTAAAAATAAATGAGCTATAAGAATACAGAAATTAGTAGAGAAAATAATTGCCTTTTTCCCTAGTTAAGCAACTCAGAAGATGAGACCAAACTGTCTGGAACAAAGCTTTACATCATGTCTTTTTCATGCTTCCAATATTTTTTAATCTTAATTCCTAGATATAGAAAGTAACTGTGTTAGAAAGGAGTTATGGTTGAGACTATATAAGAATAAACACATTGCAGGCATGTTATAATTATTGTAAAAGCAATCATTACTAGTCCAGGAAAATCAGAGTGGAGGTTAAAATATTACAGGCTGAAGTAACAGCAGTGCCTAATCAAAGTGATTTGGAGTACTTTCTATATCTAGGAATTAAGATTAAAAATACTGAAAGCATGAAAGAGACTTGATGTAAAGCTCTTTTCCTATTTCTATGTAATCTTTGGCAAAACATAGTTTTTCTGTATCTCAGTTTTGCTATCTATTACGGGAATTTAATAGTATCTATATTAAATAGTTTTTTTTTCTTTCCGCTGAAAAGCAGTAATATTTGTGTGATACTGTAATGTAAGAAGCAACATTTGAACACCCAACTCTTAAATACATCTTACTACCTCAGTTAATGCATAGTCTCTGCAAAGGAAGATACATGTCTGTGATAGGATGGGAACAGGAAAAGACTCAGCCTGTAGGAGACCTAAACATTCAGGAGTGTCCATGGATCTGTATTTATCAACTAGGTAGATAAGATATTTAAATGCCCTCAGCATAAAAGCTTAGGTTTTCATGTGCAAAGCATATACAAGCTTGGCTGTTACAAAAACAAACAGTATAAAAGATATGATATATTTAAGTGCTCCTTCTGCTGTGATCTTGCTGAGTCTTGCTGTATTCTGATCCCTGCCTCTCAGGGAAATGCATTAAGAAACACAAACAGTTCAGGATAGTGCGTTATCGTGTCTTACAGGTGTGAACTATTGGTCTGGTTCCACAAGTGCCGTGGATGGGCAGCGTGTGTCTTGTCGCTGCTTTTCCAGCTCTGAGACGTTTTGCTTGTGGTGCTGGCCTTTGACAGCCCAGGTTGATCAGAGCATTCTGAGGCGGCAATTGGGAGGTGCAATTCTGAAAAAGTTCCAAGAGAATAAATGAGAAAGTCAGCAGACCATCCAAAGGATGGGGCATCTCTTGCTGCTAAGAACAAAATGCATAAAACAGGTAGAGAGGAGCTACCAGAATCAGCTGATAATATAAAATAACAAGTGCTTAGACTATAAACCCTTCTAGTTCTGCTGGCAGAGAGACTTACACTCACCAAGCACCATTCCAGCTGCAAAATCAGAGCCTTGGCTATAACTCTTGTTTTATATGTGCGCGCACATGAGTGCTGCATATGGAAAAGCATCCCATTCTCCCCTTCCTCTAAAAGTAAATCCTTTATTTCTAGGTACACAAGAATATCAAAACTTGTGTTTCTCACACAGGTCTCATTAAAATTGATGTTGATGCGACATTATCTGACCGAGGGACGTTGCTGCAGTAATCACACCATCAGCTCAACTCAGCCACTAACAACCTACCTTTGTGCTACACTCACACCTCCAGTCTAGACTTTGTTAGTTACTGAAATCTCCAGGAGGCTGAGTGGGAATAGGAATGAAGTACCAGAGTACTCAAGATTACTGAGTCACGTGAATATTAACAGTAATCAAAATATTGCGATGTGATATCCATCAGTGGGTGGTACGTGTTTTCTGTTTTTACTATGCTGAAAAAAGGTATAAAGCCCTTACATTACATCCTTATCTCATGCAGGGTGGCTTTCATTAACTCTAACACACTTCACTTTTAGATATTTCAAATTCTTAAGTAATAGAGAAAAGTCAAGCTGTTCACAGGCCTGATTACTTATCTTTTTAATGTCATACTGCATTATGCTAATCTTATTAAGTTATTTGTATAGCTTCTATTTCTGTGCAGATAGTCTCCATTCTGGTGCATGAAATTAAATATAAAACTGACTTGTATTTCTGATGACGAGGTATGAGCAGCCATTATGGAAGGGAACTATTCATTTTCATAGAATTCCTGTTAAAATAGCATTTTGATGGTTTATGTTTAACTTCTCATGAGATCAGATCAGTTCAGTTTTTAAAGTTCAGCTGGGATCTAAAATTAGCGAGGTCCTTTGTCTTACATGCACCATTCAGCTGCAGTAAAGAATTTACTAATCAAAATCAGTTCCCTAACAAAGAATGTCATAAGATTATATGCTCATTGACATCTTCAGGCACTGTGTGATGCACCATAATTTACTTGAACTTTGTTTACTGATGATGCAGAGACAAAACCAGCTACTGTTTATCTATATGGCCGGATAGTGATAGCAGGAATAAACTCTCACTGAATCATTTATTTAGCATACTTGATTCTGAATCTGCAAGGTGAGTAGACCTACTAAATAAAGTACTATTTTTCTTCCAAATCCACCATGTAAAGAGAAAACTCCAAGGCAATTTTCAAAGGCTCCGCTGCACTGATTCATTTTGACCATATAACTGAAATGCCTGTATTTGCACTCGAGCATTTTTAGGCTTCATCTTCAGTCAATGGAGAGAGCAACCATTCCTCAGAGCACTATGAAAAATACTAGTTCTAAACTGCCTTCTGGAAAGATCTCTTTTTGCATTGACTATGCAAACTAAGCTTCTTACTTGGAACTAATAATTCCAAGAGGAAAGTCTAAAAGTTTTGCTGTTTAGACAAAAACTGAATTATTAAAATCCAATACAGGCCAATACAATACCTGGTTGTCTTCAAAGATCCCTCACTAATTTATTTTTACATTAGTTAAAAAAAAAATCCCTTCAGTGTTGCAGCTGACTAAAGAGTTAGAACAACAACTGCACTCTGCTCCACTGTGTCTTGGTTATAATACCACCATCAAGAAAAGCCCAGCAGAGACTTTGTAGTTCAAAACTCATGACATAACTCTTCAAACACCAAGATGATGATCTATCAACCATGACGGGGTCAAAGTCACAAAAAAAAAACCCACAGAAATCCATGACAGCAATCCAGGCTAACAGCTTTTGAGGAGGTGCAGATAAGAAAGAGATCCTACTTTCATGGCTACAGAGCACAACTGTGATTCCAGACCAAGCTTCGGGGAACACACATCCCTTCTACATTAAGCCATAGCTACACAACAATCTTTATAGAACCATGAAAACAAGAACGACAGGTCTTCTCTCTCCAGTGGAGTTTTTGAAAATGCTGTATTTTGCCCTCTGAAATGCTATCTGAACATGTTCAGATCTTAAAACTGTATTTTCTCAAAGATGCATATTTTTTTCAGGAATTGCTTTAGTCAGAACGATGGTGATGCTGAGAAAGGGAAAACACACACAAAATTATTTTTTAAAATAAAGCTAATGTTTCAATTAAAATAAGAACAAGGCAGCAGGGGAACTTGTCACTCGAAAGAAAGGAGACAATGTTTTTATCATTTTCAAGTACTGTTTTAATTGTGCTGCTAGGGCAACAAATAACCAACACAGCATGAGCTCACAAGGCTGAGCTTGAAAAGAAAGAAATATGGTTTTTACATATATTTACCCCTTTTAAAACAGAGATTTTGCCTTTTTTGAAAAAATACAAAGTTTACTTTCAATTAATTGTTTCTACTGTCTAGTGAACCATTTATTGGAGCTAAGTAAAAAATGGGTAGGGACAGATGAAAAACAGGACTGTCTTGAAACTCCCAAACCACTGAGGAAAATCTCCTTAATACTGTGATAAGTCATTTGAAATTGCCCTTGGGGTAAGAAAGAAAAAAAAATGAAAACCTACTATTTCACAAAGGTAAAACAAATTAAGGGACTGGAGAAGAGAAAAGGAGGCAAAGTTCCTAAATTATTCCTCATAGTATAGATCATCCTATTTATATGGTGCTTTACACACAGATATTGGCTTGCTATTAGCATTTGCCTGAGTAAGAGGCACCACAGCATGACTGGAAGCAGGAGAAAGAGGAAAAAGGAGATGTTACAAGACACTTGCTTGAGATGACACAGAGCATGCCACAGCAAATGAGGAGACAACCCCTTTCTTTGGTAAATGTACTCCTAATAATCAATTAATACAAATTTTGGATATTAGTCCTTAGTGTTCAAATGCAGTACACACAGCTGGATCCATTCTAATTGCAACTCTTCCCCTGATTTTGCACTCAAAAGTCATAACAGTGTATGTTAGAGCTGTGAATTTGTTAATCAACATTATTATCAATGAAAATTAGAGTGCAATGTCATCACCGTTTCCAGTAATTAACATGTCTTCCATCCTGAAATCACTCTACCAACTGTTGTTAATTAACTAGTCTTTCTGAAGTGTGGAAATTACATCAACAATTTATAATAAAATGCTGATGGCTCAACAATTGATTTGTGTCAGTCAGTTTGAGAAACCATATCAGAAATTACAGGAATTCCAGCATCCTAATCTCACATCCAAATAACCAGATTACATTCCCTCTTTCAAAAATCAAAATCTTCATATCATCTATTTTTTGTAGCACAGGCTTTTTAAAGTCAAACAGAGATGTAAACTAGAAATGAACATTCTCCTATTTAAAATGGCTATGAAGTAATTAAAAGGCTATTAAAACTGTTGTTTCAGCTGAGGAGAAGTTGTAGACTTTGCCAGTCTGCTACCATTTGTGATGACATACTGCAAACCAAGCAGTTTAAACTCAAAACCAGCTTTTAGTTTGAATGAAAACTCATTACTTTCTTGAAAAATGCTTCTTACGATGGCATCTCTGAAAGGTTACAGTTAAAAACTCTGATTTGAAGCACTTTGCAAATCTCCACCTTAAAAATCTCTTTCCTGTCTGCCTAGAGTGTTCTCTATGATACCTTTATAATTGGTAAGGAAATCATAATTCTCTTCCCAGCTGCATCCACACATTAGCCCTGAAGCCACAGCAGTAGGTAAAAGATAGATCAGAGACATGTGCACAGCTGCAGGGAGCAAGAAGGGGCATACGTAAAATAGAGATGTAAGATCCACCAAAGCAAATCAACATCTCCAGATCAAAAAAGAGGACTGGAGGTAGATTTTTTCCTGTCAACTGCAATCTATTGAAGTACCACAGAGTCAAACAGATCAGTGGACAGCAACAGCAACTACAAGTGTGTCTAATAAGGGTGGCCTCTCAAATGTTTTATAAGCCTATGATTTGCTGCCCCTTCTCTTTCTCTGACTTCCAAGTTATTTACTTATCTTTGGCTGAGAGTTCTTGAGTGTTACATGAGATTCAACACATGCACAATAAAAAACAGCTGATTTAAGAGTTAGCTACATGTGGCCAAGTGAAAGGTTTATCAATAGCTGAAAGTACTTTTGGACAAATTAAGGCTGCCTGGAGCATAGCCAGATAATTGTTTACATGGCTGCTGCCATGAATATCCATGCCCTGCTGGTGAATAGATGTGTTGTCTTCTTTAACCATTCTGTTTTGATATCCATGGATGTTACAAGGAGACCTATAGTACAGTTTTGTTGATGGGTTTTGTTTTTTACTTCATTCAAGATCTAAAGGGGCTATATGTGACACGGTTCAAATGAAGAGCAAGGAACAGTTAGGACTTCTGTCTCTGTGGGAAAAAGGTCATTTTGCTTCTAAATTGCCCATCAACTGTCAGATCCATTAGAAACATTTCAAGAGCATTTGTGTCACCTTTGGAAATAAACAGTTGTTTTGTGGGGCACAGAGCTAAAGATGGGATGAAACTCAACTAGAGTGCAGTGCTTTGTTCTAAGTCCAGTACATTGTCATTTTTTTCCAGAGCATTTATGCTTGAAAAATCTTCTTCTTATTGCTTTTCTTTTAAGGAGTAAAAGCACCTCTTAGAACCTGAAAGGACATTAATCCTGGAACTATATTGGAAATTTTTTTATCTGAATGGAAATCTGAACTTATTCCTAGCTTTTCATAGTGCCAATTTGTCTCTAGCAAGATCTCAGATTCTCCAATACCAGGAAAAAAATGAAAATGATAATCATCTCACATTAATTCTCAGCAGTTGCTGATACAATATTCAAAAGGACTGGTAGCAGGT